TATATTATAATATATTATATTATATATTATATATTATAATATATTATATTATATATTATATATTATAAATGCAGTATATATTAATAATATAATATAATAATATTATTATTATTATATTATATAATATAATAATATTAATAATATTACAATATAATATTATATTATTATAATAATATATAACATTATAACATTATTAATTACATAACATAAAAATATTAATCATTTGCGCGATGCACTAGAATTGAAAGAATCCGATGCGCACCGAAACCGACAAAGAACTTCGTGTTATTCTCACTGTGATATCCTTTCATCCTTCCACGTTTCATCAGATCTCAAACAAAAACTTCAATTCTAATCAATTTCGAACAGGGATGATTTTCGAACAATATATTAAGAATTAATCGTACTACCAATTCATCCCTGAATTTCAAATTAAGAAACTTCGCATCGATCGCAGCAACAATCGCTTCCAATTCCGACCTCCGAACACATCCGGGACAAAATTACTGCAATCATCTCCCTCATCGTACCAACTCCAGAAACTCAGCAGCCCGCGCAAATGCTTCTCGACGACCAAAAAAATCCCTCAACGAACAACAATTCTCCCTAACCCTCGTTCAAAATTCATCGACACAGTTTCCACAAGCGTTTCTCCCAACACGGATGAAAGTATGAAAGGACAGCACAGAGAAATAGCCACCATCGCCAACCCTGTTGAGCCTGCGAACTAAATTCAGCGTGCCCGCGTATCACAGTGGCGGCTCCACGACGCCGCGTTTAGGTCCCCGTGTGTTCGCGCGAATCATACCGCGATGTCCGTTGTTGGCTAAACCGAAGCTACGCAATGAACAGAGGTAGAAAAAGAAAGAGTCCGCGCCCGCCGGTGTCGCCGTGCCGGGCGAAAACAGGCCGCGCGTTCTCCATTGCTACCGAAGCGTGTGAACCGAAACACCTTGCTCTCCGGCCGTGTCCCGCGGTTCGTGACGTTCGCCGTTCAGTCCCACCGATTTTGGTCGATTGCCAGGATGCTGGTGAGGATATTCACGACCGGCCGCGAGATCCGGTCGAGCGATCGTGAGGCGTAATGTGGGAACGCTACAGCCACTTGTTTCGTGCCACGCCGGAGAGCCTGCGTCCCCACATAAGATGATATCATACTATTGTCCCTTGTATGGGGAGGCCGCTCAGAGAGCCGCCTAAGTTCGCGCCGTGGTTGGTGCCGAGGGCGGCGGTCAGCTCCGGCATCGACGGCAGACCGACGTCCAGGATGCCGGTGTTGCTGGCGCCGCCGATCTGCGAGCCCTCCTCCGGCGGCGTCACTTCGAGGCCGATCGAATCGTTCAGCGCGATCTTGATGGGATTGTGATTGGGATTCGACTGCAACGACTCCAGGCTGCTTTTCCGTCGGGTCGTCTGGCCCTGCCGCAGCGAGTTGCTGCGCCTCAGCAGGATGTCGTCGAACACCCTGAGCGAGTTCGAGCGGCCGCGCAGCGTGCCGGCCACCGTCGGGCTGTCCGGCAGCGAGAGCGAGTTCGATTTCGCGGTGGTCAACGGCGACGTCCTCGGCAGCCCGATCCCCGAGCCACGTCTGCTGCCCGGGCCGGCTCCGGGCAGACCGGCCGACGCCACCGCGGCGCTCATCTGCGAGACCAGCTGCGCCGAGTAGAAGCTGATGTTGCTCTTGCGGCGCGAGTTGTGCCGCTCGAACGTCTTCTGGGCCGAGAACGGGCTAGGCCGGACCAGATACACGATGTCGCCCTCCTCGAGCTTCAGGTCGCAGCTCGGATTGATGATCACGTAGGAGAGGCTGTTCCGCTTCTCGGAGACGTCGTCGTAGTCGGCTATCGGCAGGTTCAGCGACTCCATCCGCGAGCGGACCAGGTTCGCGATCTCCGCCCTCTCGATCTGCTGCGCGTGATTGTCCCGCGCCTCGTCGCCCAGGCTCACCGAGTACTAGACGAGAGAGAGACAAAAAGAAAAGAAGAGAAAGGGGGGCTAATTGTTTAACGTCGAAGGCGACCGAGCGACCTCGGTCGAACGGGTTCGTCGATGCGGTGTTGTTGCTCGCGCGAACTGTTCGGTTCGGCCGATGATGGATCGTTCCCGTGTGTTCATCGAAAGTTTCGCTACGCGAATGATATATAATGTGTCTTTCTCGATCATCGTCGTTCCTGAACTAGCGTCGTCGTTGGTCGTCGGAATCCGTGAAACCTTTCTCGCACGACGAGAGGAGACGTGTTTTACCGAGCGAAGACGAGCAAAAGCTCTTAGCGTTCAGGCGGCAAGCCACGTTGATGGACAGGGCATGCGCGGCGATGGTGCATAGCTTGGTGTACGAGCTCGGATATCGAGAGAGACGATCGGAAGGAGAACGTGGAGAATTATGTACATACGGAAGGACGAGTCAGAGGAAAATCTTTAAAATTATGCGAAAATAAGGATGCTAGCTCGATTGTCTTACAGTGCTGGATAGAAATATAAGACGCTCGAGATATTTCGTAACTGTCTGTACAATATGTTCCATAATTATGTTGACGCTTAAAGGGGTGATTCATTGGGTCATTTGAAGCAACTTTTTTCTTTGCGAAAATGCGATCCGCGGCTCCGTTTACGAGTTATTAACGAAAAACAGTGACCAATGAGAGGCGAGCACGGTTGACGCCCCGACCTCGTGACCACTGTCGCTGCGTCAGGCGGACGGCGCGACGCGGCATTGGCCGCGAGGGCGGAGCGTCGGCCGCACTCGCTCTCCGACTGGTCAGCGTTTTCCCTTAATAGCTCGTAAACGAAGCCGCGGATTGTATTTTCGCGAAGGAAAAAGTTGCTTCAAATAACCCGAGGAACCCATCATTTCTCGCTTGTACAATAACTTCGAGGCACCCTGTATTTTCGCTATGGAAAAAGACTATTAAACGAAAAGTATTTAAGTCTTTCGTTTGACTCGTCCTCGCAAGAACAAGAAGACACCAGTTGCGTACATGATACAAGAAAAGAAGAGAAAGAAAGAGAAAAATAGAAAAAGAGAGAGAGAGAGAGCGTGTGTATGTGCGAGAGAAAGAAAGAGAAATAGAGAAGAAAAGATGAAGAAAGAATTGTGAGAGTAAGATTTAGAGAAATAATTAGAAAAAGACGGACCGGACAACGAGATGGACTCTGTACTCACGGCTGAAGCACCCTTGTCGCGGGTGGCGCAATTCGCAAGGCACGATGCAGCCGCCGAATGGCGCACCTTGTACGTCACGCCGACGCCGGCGTCGCTCTCCGCGTCTGAGTCGCCCTGTCAAAACGACAAGCAATTCTACGCTTACTAAAGACAGCCCACCGTCATCGCGGTCTCACACGATCTGGCACTGCTCGTGGTTCGTTCTTTATATACAACCTGCTGATTGTCATTCTACGATCGTATCGGGTCGCTACACTATCACCGCCGAATGTGCGGTCTAACGTGTACGAGAGGAGCTTCGTGTCTACTGGCTAGCGACTTCCGACAGACAAATTTCAGCTGATATTGGGTTGGCAACTAAGTAATTGCCGATTTGTTCAATGAAATAAAAAATTTTTTTTTACTTGGAACGAAGTTTAACACGTTCCGTGCCGAGCTTTTTTTACTCGAATCTTCACACTTTGATATTTTACTAAAACTTGATGTATTACGTGCAATTATTAATTCTCGTACACATAACAACGTAACAAAAACTTATCAACGCCCATTCTTGCGGTGGAAATTGATTCTTCGGTTCTAAATTTCTTGTAAACAATTTGTTCAGTTCACTAAGTAAACATG